TCTTACACGGGAAAAGACCCGAACACACCTAGACCTACATACTTGTACCCGTGAAAATCTACAAAAACAAAAAAAACTATTGTTTCTACATGGAACTTTTGGATGCTAGAATGCTAACATGGCCTGATTAGCATTCAAAGAAATCCTTGCTTGTTTAAGAGGGATTATGGGAATTATGTCCAGCTTAAACAAGAAAAAAATGGTTTGAGTTAAACATGTACAGTATGTATTTTGTTGTCTAAAATATTCAGAGATATGTATAGCATGAAGAAGCTTAATAAATGGAAATGTTAAACATGTATAAATACATTCATTGATGTTTGTCCTATTCTATAACCCTAAATGAAGTCCGTTTTGACTATTAACTGTCATACCTATTACTGCATTACAAGTATGAAGCTCACTAACAGACAAATTCTATGTAGGACAAAGATAAAACAACAAAATCCAATACAACTGTCAAGAATACAGTGTGAGTAGTGTTTTTCTGGTTAGCCATATAGTTAGCTGCTGCTTTCAATTTTCCATTTCCAATCATCCAGTAATCAATAGTCCCTGCTGCTAGAAAAACTAGGTGGTAAAATGTTGGGGGAACAAGGGAATTCTGTCATAAGCCCCAAAACAGGCCCAATACAACCCCAGAAACGGCACAGATTTCATTTCAAACTCAGGATACCCCCCCCCACCCGCCCCAATACAGTCTCTCAAAGCACATTTTGTTTCAAGCTCAAAACAATACAAGGTCAAAATGATCTGCACATTTCTGGCTAGGAATATATAATTGTAACTTACTTTCTTGAAATTATGTGTATACACTGAATTTGAACGCCTAAGAGAAGGTATTTCATTTAACATTACACAAAAGACAAACAATTCAAATGTTTATTGCTCAAAACTCATAATACATTAAATTGCTTATAGTTATTAACAGTCTTATATAAAACCACTAAGAAAAGTTCACATCCACACAAAAGAACTAAGGAATGCATCTTCTCTTAATAATTCATCTCTTGAACATGTCTTTTAAACACCTTTTTTAATTTTGTCATTCTTTATCAGATTCAATGCTAGAAGAATAATTGTCAACTGGGCTGCAGTTTTACATAATGTAACACATTTATTTCTTATGATAGGCTTCTAGTTTGCCATATGCTTATTGTGGTAGGGTATGTGTCAAAAGGCATGGGTAAGCAACTTATAGTAATCTCTTCTTCCATGTCTTTGAATATTATAGCTTCTCCTAGACTAAAAGTCCTTTAGTAAGAGGCATAGCTTCACAACACAATAGAAACAGAAAAGGAAGACAGCAATTGATCCAGTTAATCTGTAAAATGCCATATGTGTGTATGCTTCTGTGTGTGTGTGTGTTTTACATATATATTTACTATGGATAATCTATTACACATTGTAACGCTTGTACTAATGTGTGTATTTAAAAAGATAGAAACACTACAGTATATAATTTACATTTTCACTTTACACATATTTACAATTGTGAAATTACCGAACCTATAATTTCATGTCCCCTCTGTGGACTGTGTACCCATATTTTAAAGCTTCCATCTTTCAAGATTTGGTGTACAGTTCTTATACTCATGACAGGAAAAAGAAAAGAAAAGCAATGTCAGGATTTAATGATCCACTGCTTACACTTCAAATATTTATGCTATCAATCAAACCCTATATGAAGGGGGAGGGAAAAGAATGGGTTATTATTTCTACCATGTTAGTATAAAGTATTGGGCACTTTAATCATAGCACTGCAAGTCTAAATATATCTAGGGTGTGGGGAAAATAAAATCCATGATCAATTTTATAACAAGTGAAAAACACATCAAAACAAAAACAAGAAAATATGTTTTACTTTGAATTTTAAAGCCCACTTAAAATCAATTGTCAGAATACTTGCAATAAGTGAATTTCTCTATATCAAAGCTTTCTTAATAAGAGTTGTTCTTCGAACCTTCACTTTAGCACATCATATTAAAAAGAAAAAGCGCTACTTTCTACTCTATTTTACTCATTTTAGCAGAATTTGATAATCTCTCAAAAAACATGTTTACCATATTCTGAAGTGGTAAGGCTCAATACCTGGTTTGTGATTTATAGAAATGTTTTAGCTAATAGTGTAGGTTTGCAATTTAATTAGTTTAACCTATATTCATGTGCAACATTTCAGCAACAGTAGAAAACAATTTTATTATACATATTTACCAGGGAATTCCAAATAAGGCCATAAACCCTTCATGATATTTAACTATTAACCCATCTTTCCTTGCGTGGTGCCAAATCCATTCTATGAATAGTAATTATAATAGCAGTTGTGAAAAATATAAAATCCAACATCAGTACCACATCAATTTGGAGATTTGTGCTGGCCCAATCTGCCTATGATCTTTGGGGGTTAGGATCATTTTAAGCTCCCATTTGAAATAAATTTGTAAAAAATCACTCAGTGCCAATTTCGTGGATTGGAAAATGGTGGATTTCTGGCATCTATTAATGTCACCTGGTAAGGTAACAACTTAGGACACATTTGTCATACCTCACACCAATATTCAATTACAACATGCATACTACATTAAAGCAAAGTGATAACAAAAAAAAAAAAAAGAAAGATTCCTTATTTTGCTTCAGATTGCACCTACAGGAAAGAATCTGCGCTTTACCATCTCATTTTATAGCAATAGCACATTTTACAAACTGGTAAGCAGAAGGCTAAGCGAAACAAAACAAAATAAACAATAAAAATGTTTCAGACAGATTTTGTAATTAACATGTAATTAACATGAAGCGCTTGCAAAGAAACAGAACAGAATATAGAAGATTTTTTTACTATCTACACTATGCTTCACGGATTCCCTGTTTTGGAGAGTTTCTAGCCCGGGGGAGGGGGGGACGGGACGGGGACAGCTATTCAAGGCATGTAAGAAATGAAGAGATGGGAGAAAGGGAATAAAGGTTGCTGTCTGCTACATTAGAAGCCTTCTACTGATAGAGAAGCTACTGGAAGCTTTGCATCCATAATACTGCATAGACAAACTTTTAAGTAATAAATACTGATTAGAAAATTAACTTTTAGTAGAAATGAAAAAAATCAATCATTTATTTAAAAAAATCTGCTTTCATAAAAGATTCCATAAAAGGAATGTTAACATACTAATTACTGATTTAATCAAACACACTCAACAATAAGAGCTGCAACATTTCAAAGGAGGGAGAACAGAAACTACTAAGATCAAGGACTCTAGTCATTTTAATTCCCATTTAAGCATTAGAACATTGTTTTTAGACAGTGTTGGACAACAGGACTTGCGAACCACCCACATTCTTCAACTGAGGAAATGAAGTCAACTTTTAACAAACACTTAACAGCTTTACTAGAACTAAAATACTTCCTACTGCAGTACCTCATAAAATAACAGAAAATTCATAGTGTATTGACTGTAAATGTTATCAGAATAATTCAAGAAAGTAATAATTACAGGTAGGCTTTCCCAGAACTAGTCATTATTGATTTAGCTTCTGGAAACCAATGTAATGAATAAAGAAATTAAAAATAATGAGAATGATATCTTGAGAGATGTTGAGACTATGAATGTTAAGACTAACATCAGGGGATATGAGGCTGACCTGCCTCATCCACCAAGTTGAGTATGTAAGTGGCAATATCTTCCTCTGTAGGTGCATCAGATACGACCCAAGAATCATTTGCAGCAGTCACTTGTAGGCGGCATACAGGGCAATTCCTATGACGGCCACTCCTGCAAAGGAAGTCAGAAGAAACAGTCACTGCTTTTCAGATTTTGTACTGATAATGCGCATGACTATTTTTTTTCTCATGGTAAGATATAACAGGATCTGGGACAAAAGGCTAAAGAGCGAGTGTTTTATCTATGAGACCAAGCTAAAAATAACAGTGAAAATATCCATAACATAGATTGCAGAACTGTTGTCAGCCCTGAAGCCATTTTGGGAACATCTTCAGGGCTGCCACAGCAAGGCCGGTTGGAACTGTGGGAACATGAGTGGGGAGATAGAGATAGCTGGGGATGTGTAGCCAAAATAACATTCTTTCCCGTGGGAGCCACAGATGCTCTACCAGGTGTTACAGAGTGGCGTGGACCAAAGCCAGCCAGGATTGGGGCTGCAACCTGATTGGACCGTGCGATGGACATGTGACCTGGGGGAAAGAACTTTGGGGTGTTGATTTGGGTGGGGAAAACCTTGGGTCCTTCAGAGTCAGGTTTTCCCCAGATGTGCCAATATGACATTCCTAATAAATTCATACTTTGAGGAAACTCTAGGCCTCAGAGTTTTCATTGTTTTGGGTCTGTTACTTGGAATCCTGAAACCTGTTTTTGAAAGCCCCCCGGCAATGAGATCTTAAACCTCCAAAGAAAAACAACCGGTTGATTTTTAAATTGGAAAAATTTACATTATCCCAACTGTCTATACTTTAAAGCAATTTGTTGCCCTTTTAACAAATACTGACTGCATTCACCTATCACTTGGCCAAGGATGTATCCTATCAGTATCGCAGAATGGCATGATGGCTGAAATTTTCAGATCTGTTTTGGTTTTTTATGAGGTTGGGCACTGTATTAAGAAGCAAAATTAAATTTAGAGTACTCATTTAGATCCTTACAAACAATTTTCCAATCTGAGAGGCACGGATGTGTGCAAGTTATTCTACCTCTATGCAAAATAGTTGTTTAGTTCAGTAATTTTGACTTAATGTGACTATGTGGCTGGATTGTTGATTTTTGGTTTATGTATTTTATAGTTTATTTTGTAAGCTGTTCAACATCAGTTTGTCATTAAAGGTTTTGCATAATGTACAAACATACAGAAACATTTTAATTAATTTCCTTGCATAACACATATAACTTAAGAAATAAATGGAGCAGAGAAACTGAAATATAACTAGGCTGAATTCTTCCACTGAAGATGTCTCTACCTCACTGCACAAACTTCTTTAGTTTTACACTTGACTATCTTAAATGCAGGGGAAAACAATGTATTGGTAGTCTTTGCTTAATGACTGCTTGAAGTTATATTTTGTTCCAACAAAACCAGATGCCTCAGATTTAATTCGCTTTTAAAGTGGAATTGGCAGCTCTCTGAAATCAAGACATACTACCAGAATGCCTTGTCATTTTAAAAAGGTGCAATTTTACTTCTTAAAAATAATGCAAAGCCAGATTATATAACATATCCCACGGTGGCTATTTGTTAAAATTTAGCTTCGAATAGCATCAAATTGAATTAGCTGTGTGCCACACGGGCATATAATATTTGTTCAAATTAGCTTAGCAACCCAAGAAGCACTATTTATTTAAAAGAAGTATATAATTTCTCAGATAAGGTATCATTAACTAAAATATTGGTAGAGGTTTTATTCAAAAGGAAAGACAAGTTCTTTTTACTAAATTGTTAACTTTGAAGAAGAGGTGGTACTGGAAAAGGGGACCTACTTCCAGCTCACTGACAGCTAGAATGCACAGGGAGGCCAGGATTGGAAGGCCTCCTCTATCTTGATTTCAGCTCCTCCCCCACTCCATTTCACTGTAGACAACTGTTTGAGGAAAATATATGAGGAAAATAATTGCAGTGGTACCTTGGTATTCAACTGCCTTAAAACTCATTGAATTTGGTACTCAACGCATTTTGAAGTGAAAATTTTGTCTGGTACTCACCGTTTGTTTGGTACTCAATGCACAAGCTAGAGCTTGTTGGTGGTGGCTGCCTTGTGACTTTTTACATTATTCCTTAAGGGAAAATTTTGTTTGGTACTCAATGTTTCTGGTACTTACTGCCTCCTGGATCCAATTAGCAATGAGTACCAAGGTACCATTTTCCCCTTCCATATTCAGATACCCTTTTTCTTCATCTCATGTCTCCATCCAACTTTGCCCCTCTCCCACCTCTGGCTTCACTATCCATTACTCTATCCCGTCATCAAACCTCCATTTGATTTGATTTTATTTTTGCTGGTTTTGCTGGAGAGGGATATGTGTGAATGTAAATGAGCTTCTGTGTTTCTGAGAAAAAAGTTTGTGTGCGCATATATACAAAAGCAACACTGATTAATTTACAAATGAACTGACTTATTTTACAGGGGTTTAAATTAAAAGAATATTAACTAATATTAATTTATTTACTTTGTGCTGGCATGCCTCTTGAAGTAAGGTTTCTGAGCAGCATGCATATAAGCATGTACATATAACTACTCAAATATGCATATAAAATACACATATTTGTATGCATGTGAAATCCCCAGGACTAGAACTTGGAAATCTGAGGTGGTATTGAAAAGAAGGGTTCATTTCCTTTCTTCATTAAACATGGTATAATTTGTTCATGAGATTTAACTAAGTGACTTACCATTTATCAATGCATTTCTGACAAAAGCTGTGGGCACATGGCAAGATCAGATCAGCACGTCCATCCATACAAATGCAACATTCTTCCTCATCAGTAAGCTGTTTCACCCTACAGTGCAAATATATTATTTATTCACAATCAAAGATGTCCAGAACTGTAATTGTAGTATACCTTGAATTGTTTCTTGTTAAATATTTTACTATGAATACTTATAATCTTCTAACCCCTGGTTCACTAAAGCAATTTCACATTCAACTTGCAAGAAACTATCTGTGTTTTGTCCTAAGAAAGAAGGAAGGAGACCATTATTACACAAAAAATTGGTGTTCTATAAACGAAACTTATGACACACATTAACAATGTTAAAAAGTGTTTAAGAAGAATAATCATAGATTGATGTACAAATAAGAAAAGTTTGTTATTTGCTTCTCTTCAACATATACACAATTGCTAAGGACTGTATACTCCGAGTTGGTGCATAAAGAGACATTTACACGCACACACACAGAGAGTTGTATACAATGGCAATTAGCTATTCCTGTTATCTAGGTGCCTATTTCCAATAGTTTTCTAACACAGAAATGATTTAATGTTCTTTCAGCTCTCTGAATAATCTCAAATTTTCCAGAATGAGGAAAATTAATATGAATGATAGATTATTTCTTTTTCAAAATGAATCTTCATCACTAAAGGATGAAGTGGATGCCTCTCTGCAAGAGGATGCCTCATTTTCAGAAAAGCTTACCTATATTTTCAGTAAGAAAAAAGGTAGACTAAATAACTGAACATTCATTCACTGCACATTTTATAGTAAATGGCAACCTTACCTAAACTGAATCAAGTTTATAAAAGTCCTTGCTATAACAAGAAACAAACTGGACAGATTCAAACATTTTCAGAGTATTTCAAATACCTTCCTATCCAAAGGCTAGCCTGACAAGATTCAACAGATGACAGATCTTCTGCTGTTCCTTCTGAGGGAACTGTCTGTGAAAGAACCTGTGATGCCTGACTTGTAATATCTTTATAAAGTTGAATGAACTGATACAAGTTCATGATTCTTGAAGCTTCCACAATACCACTTGTCTTGTTTATCTATAACACAGAAAGCAGCATTATCATTTTTCTTGAATATCTCACTATTTATTCTAATTTTATATTTAGAGCAATGTAAATTAAAAGCTTCTAAACTTAGAAATTTGACATTCTGAGATGCTATAAATGCCTTTATAATGTCCAGAATGGCCAATGGCAGATTAATAATGGCACACTGGTATAATTATGACAAGCAAAACATTATAAACACAGCAAACTACATATTTTAATAAGTTATGAAAATGTGGCATTTTTTTCTAATTAACCATGAACATCCACCAAATTTATGGTTAGTATGCATTTATATGTTGCTATGGATTAGAGAATTAAAGATTCTGATAAACTTACTTTAGTGCAAACTATCCGAACAGCCACCTTCCATAAAGCTGTAGCATCAGACCCTGGTTGCACTTCAAATAACAGATGCTTGTTCTGGCCCGAAGCTAATTGTGCAGTTCTGGAATTATTTAACATTTATTTAACATTCTATACATGTAGCACAAGAGTACACACACTTTAAACATTACAATGAATATGATCTACAAGTTGCAAGCAAATATATTTTCAAATATAGGATTGGATCCAAATAAGGTGATCTGTGGAATGGGTTTTGGTGGAAATTGGTTTTCCCACTCAGCCCCTTTCCAAGCCGCTTTCATGAAAAGACTTGTTGATATCGTCTGTATCTAGTTTTGAAGAATCTTGCTAAGAGTCAACACCATTCATCTAAAAGCTTCTGATCCTAGAAGACTGTTTCCAGGCAGGAGAAGAAATCAAGGAAGTCATTTCCAGCCCAGTGCTTGTAACATAAACATTGATCTTTCTTTGAATTGGCTTTTTGGGAATATAATTGTTCTTTCTCTGATTCATCTTTATTTTGGTTCTGCAGGTGGACAACTTTAAAATAATTATGTGTTATGATTCCAAGCAAAATGCTAGAAAACTTATATTTTAAACAAATATGTGTTAATATATAACATGTGTTTTCATGCATTTTTTGATTTTAAGAATTGTACATAAATGATTGGTATATGGTTTATACACAAAAGATATCAGGCTTAATTCCTTCACAACCAGATAAAGATCCCTGTCAGATACCCTGGAGACATTACTAGTCACCATAGATAATTGCTGAGTTAGGTATACCAATTATCTGATATACTTTATGCCACTTATAAAGCAACATTATGTTTGCAACTACAGCATTTTTTTAAACAAATTTTATTCAGTTTTTCACATTAAAAACAAAAATCTCTTTTTAGTGGACAACATATTTCCGGGTCATCACCTTTACATACAAATATGACAGCAATTATACATTTATATATGCATACTTAATTCTATTATTACCTTTTCCATTCCAAATTTTCAGTAAGGAGAGAAACAAACACATTAATTCTAGCCTCTTTCATTAATCTCAATCGAAACATCTTTTTGTTTCATTTCAATTATTTCAAATATAATCCTTTAATATTTATTTTAAAAATAAAGATAAACAATATGTGTTTGCCTAATAATAATATTAATAATATTAATATTAATATTAATATTAATAATAATAATAATAATAATAATAATAATAATAATAATAATAATAATAATAATAATAATAATAATAGGTTACCAATATCTCTCCTTGCTTTTAATAGTCTATATTAACTTATTAATTTAGCTGGTTCTTTAGTCTGTCATATTCCCTTTCCATTACACATTCTTTTTATAAATTCTAGATTAATACAAATTTTAACATTAAAGAAAAAAAAACAAGTATAGGTTTCCCCCCTTTTACTGCTTTGAGTGTGACACCTCAATGATTAAAATATACCTTTATTCCCTCATCTTGATTCCCAATAAACCATTATTTTTAAGAAGTTACAATAATAATCATTACATCTTTTCATTTGGATTCCGCAGCATATTTTCCCCGCTTGATTTTTAATAAGAGTTATCAGTATCTATATTACCCTATTTTCTAAATATTTTTAATTGCAGAAATATTCTTATTACCCCTTGTCACCTTGCAGAATCCCCTTTTTAATTCATCAACCATTATCTCTGAAAAAACAATTTCTTTTCAATGTTTTACTATTTCCGTATTTCTTTATTTCATTCACCTGTTTCTTACTGCCTCTCCTCCCCCTCTTTTTCCCATATCTTTTCTCATTCCAGTTTATATCCCTCTCTTTCTTAATATCTTCCTTTCCCCTTTTCTGCTGGGTCTTTCTGCCTTTCCTGACTTCACAGGTATTCCCCCTTTTGATTGCCTTCTTAAATCTCAACTTTTTAACCTTCCTTCTTTCCCCACTTCTTTGTAGTGTTCTTTGTGTTAATTGTCTATTTAAAATGTCTTCTCCTTGAGTTGACTCCTCCTCCTCTGAAGTTCTTTCTTCTTGTTCTTCAATCGCCATTTCCATTTTTTCTAACACAGAGCAAAGTGATTCGCCTCTTTCCTGTAGTAATTCTCTCATATTTTTAAGTTCCATTTTTAATTCCCGAAGAGATATCATCATTACACACTCTTATATTTTATGATTGTTAAGGTCCACAAAAAAAACAAAACACTTTTACTTTCCTTCTTTCTTCTTTCAATTTTTTAAAGTTCTCCGTTATTCCAGCCCAGGGTCTATACCAAAAACATCAATCAATCCCACAGTCAGTCTTTCCTTGCTTTTTCCTTTATTCTGGTTCTGCTTTCACTTTCTAAGATTCTTACTTTGTTTCAATATTTCTTTAATGTTATATCCACGCAAGTTCATTCAGAAACAGGATGCTTTCCCTTTTGTTTGAACTCAAGTTTTTGTCAAAAGGTGGCACTCTCCATTATACAAAGTCTTCACCTTTTCCCCCTATTTTTTTGTTTAGGGTTTTTCGAACCTCAATATTCCAGCACAGTCCAGTCTCCAATTTATTAACTTTATTATTATTATTTTTGACAATCTTAAGTCCAGCTTTATTTTATGCCTGTTTATTGCCAAAATATTTTAGTCCAATTTAGTTAAATCTTTAGTTCCGGCTTCTTCCTTTCCCAGTTCGAAGCCCTGCTTAGCTGTCAAAAATATTTTCTTATTTTTTTTTCCTGTCCCTTTGTAATTTCACCACTCACTTTTCTTTTCTTAAAAATTCCATGTTACCTTAATCCCGGGGTACTTTTGTTTAGTTGTATTGCCCAGTTGTCCCGGTTCAGATGTTATCCACCTCTTTCTTCCCTCCTGCACAAAGCTTAATCCAGCTGAGTCCTCCTCTTCGGGGTGGCCATTTTAAACCACCGCTGCAGTCGTTTTCGGGGGGGGGGAAGACCAAGCCCAGGAGGGGAGATGCAGCTCCCCTCAACCTGGCTTGCAGGTTCCCCTTACTCCACCGCCCCTCCAAGGCAGCTTCAGCCCCTAATCGTAATGATCGGGGCTCTCCAACAAAAGAGCACAGACCATAGCCGCAGAGAGTCGCGATCTATGGTCCATCAGCGAGGAGGCTCCGCCTTCTTTTCACAACTACAGTATTTTTAAGAGCTTTATTTTCCTCATAAAGCAAGAATTGGAAAAAGTATTCATGTCCAATAGAGATTCAATTTTAGGACATATTTTAATAAAGTGATAATTGCAAAGAGAGTAAAGTATTTTCCAAGTAGTTCAACATTAATATGGCTAAGCCGTGGTTTAGGAGATTTGCACTGATAAGTTTAACTACCATTGTGAGGTTTCAATCAATGAGTACTAGATTAATTTTTATTACTCGTGTAGTTTATTATGGTGCCTTTAGTAAGGGAAATAAGTTTCTCTCTTATCTACTAGTTTCAATTTGAAAAACATTACAATATACATCTGATAAAGTTCTGATTGCAAAGTATTTGTTATGGTTTAAGATATGACTGAACATATCCCGAGAATCTAAATCTATATTATATCATACCATATAATGCATCTGTCCTACTTTTATTAGAAATTAAGTAGTCCTATACAGTATATATTGCTAATAATTCATTCTCAAATGTCTTAAGCAGGTTCTTGTGTAATACTTATACTATTATATGTATAAAAGGAGAAAAAACTCACGTGTCATTAAGTTCAGCCACTCTTCCCAAAAACTCTTCGTATGTCAAGAAACCACTTTCTCGAACAAGAGAGACATGCTTGACAACTTTTTCTGGCAGCTTAGTTATAACTGTGTGTGTTTGGCTTGAGAGTTGTTGGCCCATGATAGACTACTTTAGCTCAGGTACCAGGGCGAAATACTGCTTTCCACATTTAGAGAATTTCTAATAAATATATTTTAAAACACTGTATTAGAATAGTCATAATGGCATTTCATTCACAGTGCATAAATTGCAAGCTAACCACATAGCTATATAGTTTAGCTGGAATAGCTTAATAAAACTGGTTAGCTTTATATAGAGCTAACCAGATACAAAGTCAGATTAAATCCATTTTCTACTGACATCTAATTCAAGCATATTCTTAATATGGAAATTAACACTATAAAATGCACATTTTACTAACAACATGGTAACCCCTATTTTAGTAACTCCTAAAATACAAAATATAATGACTGACAATCGCAAGTTTATAAGTTTAAAACTCTGTAGACTGAACTCAAGTACTTTTTAAATGGAGAGAGAATAACATTCATTCAGGTGAAGCCATGCAGAAAATAACAGCGCACAGCAAAATTTAGTTCACCATTAAGGAGAAGAACATATTAGACATGCAAAAAACTCTCAAATTATACTTATGGTACAGAAAGAGCTATAATTTAAAGACTATAAATTTTATGCTCTAAATTGTCATTCTACATTTTACTAAATATATTTTAATCTATCCAATAGCTGGAGTTTTCTGAGTGTATTACAAAGTAATTATTTTAAATCTTAAAAAAACCAAACAAAGAAAAATTGTAAAACTGTAATGTCTATTAATAGACATTAATTTAAAAACAATATACAAGATACATCATCAAAGTATTCTGAAAGATTTAAAAAGTAATAATATTAAAATCAGGGAAATGTAACGCCTGTTATAAAATAACTCTCTTGCTCATAGAGTTGAGTGGAACTTCCGAAGGGTAAATAAATCAAGGCTTGAAAATTGAAAGCATTGAGTGTTGGAGAATTCTGGTCTGCAGCGCTTCGGGGCAGGCAGGAATCCGCGACTGTGCGCGGTTTCTGCCTGTGTTCGCTGCCCGAGTGCCCTGAGCCACCCGGCTTCAGGGTTAGCCACCTCCGTAGAAGGTGGCGAAGGCAGGGGGGGACCTGGCAGGGTCGAGAGATATCGCACCTCTCTTCCCTAGCCGGCAAAACCCCCTTTTCCGAAGGCAGCTGAGCGGCGGTCAGAAATGGCCGCCACATAGAAGCGCTCAGCCGGAAAAAGAAAGTGCAGCAGGAGTTGTGAAGAAGTAAAAGTGTTTTTTGCTGACCGGGAAAAGTATTAGCGAAAGTATCCTGGATTTTAAAAGTTGCCAAAGATACATCGTTTCCAGAGATTTACAAGCGGCGAAGGGAAATTTAAAAGGGAAAGTTTTTCTTTCTTTTCACTCTCCTTCCTAATGTGACAGCGAACAGAACCACAAGAGAAATAGGAAAACCCGCATTGGAGGTAATTAAATGCTAAAGGGATAAGGATTTCTGAATATTCAAAAAAAAAACCAAACCTTTTTTGCTGAAAGGGGGGAGAGGAAAAAAAATTGGAGCAGAATTTGAAAGTAAGGAGGAGATTGCCTAGAACTTCAAAGAGTTATTAAATATTAACAAGACTTCTAAAAGATATATTTTAACTGGAACTTGGTGACTAAACAGTAACCCCAGAAAGAGAAAGGGAAGAAAGAAGAAAGTACTAAAAGAAACAGCTTATTTTGATTGTTTGGTGATTTTGGAACTTTTGGGAACTACCTTTGATTAAAAGCACTTGGGTGGTTGTTTTGGAAAAACTTTTTCTCTCTACAATGGCATCATTTCTGGATGAATTGAAAACTGAATACCAAAAATACAAAAAAGAAGAACAAGAAGGGAAAGATTCTTTTGGCACTCTTTTTCAATTTTTAGAAATGGCGGTTTGTACTTATGAGAAACTGACTGCGCAACAAGATGATTGGGACAAAGAAGAAGCCATCTTTGATGAACAAGTGACTCTATTTGGGGAAGGAAAGGAGAAAGAGGAAAAGAAAAAGGGGACTTTAAGACTTGAAAAAACAGCCCAAAAAGAGAAAAATAAGGTGAAAAGTGGATACAATGTTAGAAAA